TGTTTATGTTTATTGACATAAGTGATGCTCATGGATGTTGACATGAGTGATGCTCATGAATGTTGACATGATTGATGCTCATGAATGATGGTCATGAATGTTTATGTATGATTGACATAAGTGATGCTCATGTATAATTTTTGGAGTACTGGATGTACTTTTGATCACCTAGTTGATGATAATAGCGGTAGGCTGCCAAATAATTTTGGAGTACTTGATGTACTTGTGATCACCTGATTGGTGATAATAGCGGCAGGGTGCTAAATAATTTTAGAGTACTAGGCGTACTTTTGATCACCTGGTTGGTGATAATAATGGCAGGCTGCCGAATAATTTTTTGTAGTACTGGACGTACTTTTGGTCACATGGTTGGTGATAATAGAGGGTCTGGCTTTTTTGGGCATATGGGCCCTTGTCCTCCACATAACAATCCAACCCATTATTTTGGGCTTGTCGTTTATTTGTTTATTTGTTTATTATTTTTTTATGATAACCTTTTTATGGGGTTATACAGATGTTTCCGAAAGATAAGAAAAATAAATCACATCATTCAAAAACAAGAAAAGTAAATCACATCATTCTGGTAGGGTGTTTATTCCTTGCTTTTGCAGTGTGGGTGTTTATTCCCTGCTTTTGCAGTGTCCCTATGTGCTCTCGTAGAGGAAAGCCTCCCTTTTGCTTTCTGCTTTTTCTCCGTTTTTTCTGCTTTGCTTTTGCTTTTGTTTCCTGCTTTTCTTTATGCTTTTCTCCAAGTATCCTTTTTCTTTTTCTTTTATGGAGTGGTTGAGCTGTCTGATGGTTTGCAATGATCTCTGAGATTGATCGACTAGTGGGTTGTATCATGAAAATTTCATCATTCTCTAGTAGCACGAATCAGTGCTGGCACCGCCTTGATTCGATTCCCAAAACCCATTGCTTCCACCATCTCCTTCGTCCGATCCACCACTTCATCCACCATTACCACCGCAGATCTCAGCGCATCCATCTGATCATCATACTCAAGAATTGCCCACGACAACACTGTGGCGGTATACGCCATTGGAAAACCAAACTTCATGTGATCCCCAACATCATACATTCCCTTGGACAAATCCAACTTCGCATTGCTTCCATTTTTCAGACCCGACTCCCCTCTCCACGATATCTTGTTATCGACCAAATGACCAGATTTCTGGACGTCGAAGAATTGGACGGCGAGTTTGAGAGTGTCGAAGTATTTCTGGGTAATGGCGTTGGAAGGCTCGGGAACCGCACTGTCGTAGCCGCCGGAGTTTTTCTTTACTTTCTTGACGATGGCGAGAATGACGGCGTCGACGACAAGGCCGAGGATCGCGAGCACCAGCAGCCACGCCCACCAACCCTTGCACCTCGATTTAGCTCCCATTTTTTAGGACCAACCAAAACCACAAGAGGCAGGCAAAAAGTAGTCTAAGTAGATATCTGTCTTAGCACATTGTGACAAGACAAACAAACATTAATCGAGGTTTTGGAGAAGATTTAAGTGATGATTGGTGCTTCCTCTCGGATCTAAACTCAGATGTTTCTTTTTTATGTTTGTCGTTGGACACGGTCTACTACACCGACAACCATGACGAGGTTGATTTGAGGCTTGGTTTTGAGATCCTGCGAGTCTAGGACTGAGACTTGGTTTTGAGGCGGTTGACGAGGATGTCGAGAACCCATTTGCGGACGTTGCCGTAGGATTTGATGCCGAAAGGGTGGAGGATTTCGGAAGAGAGGTTGCGGCGGAGGAGGCGCCAAATGGGGCTGTAGACGGTGAAGTTGATGTTGTGTTGGTTGCTGCTCATGTACTTGTTGGTGGCCAAGGCCAGTGGGCGGTCAGCGAACACGGCGCCGTTCTGGATGGGGGTCTGGTGGGGAGTGGTCGGCGATGAAGATGATGGGTCCGGAGCCGATGTGGAGGGAGATGATGGGCCCGTATTAGACCTGGAGGTTGCGGATGCAGAGGGCTATGGGGACAAGGAACCAGGTTTCCATGGTGAAAAATGAGCAATCAGGCTAAGGGCAAATGCTTTTGCCTGCGTTTTGATGGTGGCGTTTCTTTCTTCTTGGGCTTTGTGGCCTCTGGTGTAAGAGGGAAAGAGAGCCATAGGAAAAAGTAGATAATTTTGGCTTCCTGGGTTTTTGCAGATTCGCGGTGGAGTGTGGTGAGGTCTCACGGTGGTGAGATAGAAAAAATGAAAGAGAACCGACATAGCTTTTTGTGTCGATTCCCACAGACGGCGCCAAATGTTGATGCACAAAACCGGAGGTCTTGGAACAACGTAAATTCGACCGTGAATCTGCAAGAAAGTAAATAACACAAGATGTATCGTGGTTCACCCAATTGTTTGGGCTACGTCCACACTGATATTGTATTTCTCTCTTTGTGAGAGGATTGTGAGGGTGAGAGCTTCCTAATTGTGAGGGTGAGGAGTCCCTTTTATAGAATAAGGGCTCCTCACTTATTACATATTTGCCCCTTCCTTTATTACATAATTATATTTGAGTCATCCGAGTATTTATACGAGATCTAAATACGGAGGCCCTAAGTATGGTACAAACACACTGAATAACTTGTAACTAGTTGACTAGCTCATTTGACTAGTCTACTATGCAAAGTTAAATTTTTATTTGCAGGATATTTCGCCTAGTACCCAATTTCAAAGGTAATTTATGTTACGTTTTTGTCCCTCTAAATATAAAGCTCCCTTTAAATATTAGCTCATCAATCAATATTAGCTAATATTCAAGCACATGACTCCAAATATATTCCCCAAATCACTTAGTACTACGGTCTAGTGATATTCATATTCACTTGTAAGTGAGAGGTTTTAAGTTTGATTCTCGCAAATGACGAATTTGAACTACATTATTACTAATCCATTGTGAAGCTTAGCCCACCCTCATATCCTAGATAATATCGTTTGTTCAAAAAACTTAACTCCCCAATCCTATCCTAGCTATATGTATTGGGTATAATAAGGGCTAAATGGTTTCTATGAACTCATTAAACTTGAATAAGCCCTAAATTGTCTAATTATATCTCATAATTAAGGTCTAACTGATTAGATTTACGGCTTAATTGGATAAATGGTCCTCGTGGTGATATGGTACTCAGAGGATAGTCCATGTGGTAAAAAAATTCGGATTTAAGTCATTCTGGTGAAGTCCGTTAAGAATTAAGCCCAAAATCAAAATTTCCGTTAGTTCCTTCGTCAAGTTGTGTGTGTGTATGTTTTTTTTTTCATTTTTTTTTATCAGAAAAGAAATATCTAGTTTCATAGATATGCAGCAAGCTCCTTTTGCCAATGGATCCGACTTTAGATCTTCTTTGCTTCATTGCTTTTACAAGCTTGATTTTTATCGTAATAAGCCTCATAGCCGAACAACTAGCACGCTTGCTTTCATTTAGTTTTGATATCAAATTATCATGAGTGATTATTCAGTTGCAACTAGAAGAAGCTTCGGCCATTAGGTACTTACTTTCATTGCTCTGCGCTCCTTCACAAAAGATTGTTGCACTTTATCCTTCAAATAGTCAATCTTTTGTGAGAAGTAAAACTCAGGTGCACATGATTTAATCGAAAAATATTTCTTGCAGAATGGTACCCATTTTCTTGCAAATTCAGATGCATGGCAACACCATCGTCAGATACATAGCAGGAAACTTAATCCACGGGGCAGTCTACAGCAAGGATGAAGCCAAGTATATTTTGAGCTGGATCCCTTGGCAAAGGAAGCTTGCTGCATATCTATGAAACTAGATATTTCTCTTCTGGGAAAAAAGAAGAAGAGCTTAACGGATAAACTAATTAACATAAACTTTGATTTGGGCTTAATTCCTAACGAACTTCACCACATGGGTTTAAATCCGAATTTTTTTTACCACATGGACTATCTTCCAAGTATCATATCACCACGAGAACTATTAATTCAATTAGACCTAAATTTAATTCACATATTTAAACATTAAACCGTCCAAATTATGTTTGATCAACAAAATGATTTTAAAATTTGAACTTAAGTTCTCTTCCAATACAGTAGAGACTGCATGTAACTAAAATATTAAGACATAATTAAATTGATCATCTTTTTTTACCAAACGATATTATCTACACTAGGGGGGTGAGAGAATGAACTAAGCCTCACATCACCACGAGAGCCATTTATCCAATTAAGCCTAAATTTAATTGACATATTTAAACATTAAACCGTCCTAATTATCTATATACGTTTGATCAACAAACTGATTTTGAAATTTGAATTAAGTTCTCTTCCAATACAGTAGAGACTACATGTAACTAAAACATTAAGACATAATTAAATTGATCATATTTTTTTACCAAACGATATTATCTTCAATAAGAGAGTGGGCAAATGGACTAAGCCTCACAATGAGTTAGCAATAATGTTGTTCAAATTCGTTTTTGGCGAAAATCGAACTTAAAACCTTTCACTTACAAGTGAAAATGAATACTACTAGACCATAGTACTGAGTGGCAATTAAATTGATCATTTTTGAAAACTCGTGTTGTCAATTCTAATTAAACACTAAAATTCATCTAACTTCACCCACTATTTATTTTTAAACTATAGTGCACATGCTTGATTATTTTTCACCGCGGTGGGAAAACGTAATCTGCATTTAATTAAATTAATGGTTTTTATAAATAAAAAATACTAATTTTAAGCCTAATCTAAAATCTCAATCAGGAGAGAATTCTATTTAAAATCGAAGTGTTATAACATTCCTTTTAGAAAACGACTTCTTTGCTCTAATATAAAAGCTGCAAGAACCATAAATTACATAAAAACTCATTCAACTCTCAAATCACCGGCGTGAAAGATAGTAAGTGCTTTTGTTTATTTACGTATTGGAATTATTAGTCAGATCAAATGGCTTTTTATTCAGTTAGTCATATTAATTTGGTTAATGCAGGGATTAATTAACTCCATATACATATAGAGCTTGGCGATCAAGTTTAAAGCTTGGATCGATGGCAGTGACTATGATAAAGATGGGTTTGATTGTTGCGGTATTGGGTATAGTGTCGTTTGCATTCGGAATTGCTGCTGAAGTCCATAAGGTACCGCAATCTCATCATGTTTTTACTTTATTTAAAAAAAAAAAGTTTTGCGATTTGTCCAATATTAAATAGAAATAAACTTATTTTCGTTTTATGAAATATTATTGATGCATATAAGTCACAAATAGTATAATTGAGAAAATAAAACCTAACATATAGTAGCAGTATGTGGTTAAATTAAAGGGGCTTTTAGATCCAGGTCAAAAAATATAGAGTATTTTTTGAAGTGAGTCTAATTATCTAATTATATGTTTTATTTCCTTTATACTCATTTTATATTTTCTAAAAATATTAAAAATCAATTAAAATCTTCAAATATTATGCATTTTTCATCTCCAAAAAATGGAGCAATGGCTGCCTCCCTGAATATCTTATAATTATTCCTTTGAATAATTGTGCTTTTAAAACCCTAACTACATACGAAAAACTTTGGGGTATCACACCAAGTGACTCCATTTAATCACCAATAAACTTTTCGACAGAACCTAAAGTTAAACTACTGTAACTCTTTGACCATTTTAGGGACCAATTTCTTTTGTTTATGAATGTTAAACTTAAAGGTCCTCTGGTAACTATTTCATTTTAACAAACAATAAAACTTAAAAACCAAAAACTACCTCTTAACCTCAACGACATATTAAATACCTTTTTGGGGTTTTGTAGCCTGCAGCTGGTATCCCCATAATGAGCCGGAATGGCGTAGTGATGTGCAAGTACCCATCTGATCCAACGGTTGTATATGGGTATCTGTCCTTTGCATTTTTAGTGGCATCTTCTTTGACTGGATTCCTCTCTGTATTTTACCCATACAAGGGCAAATCAGTTCCATCCAGTGCTTTTCTCCAAAGCACTTTATTTGTTACTTTCTTCAACAGCACTCTGTAAGTCATTCACCACTCTCTTTATCTTTTACGTCACTAGTGAAACCTTGAAAGGGCCTTCAGGAAGGCCAAAGTATAATTCTAGTGCTTGTTGTAGATGTGGTGAAGTGTTACTTTAGTCCTTTTTTTCGACAATGCGAGAGTGATATATGTGAGGATAAACTCGGCTTTCTGGAGGAGTGAAAACATCTCGCATGCCTCTTGTGTTATTTTTGTCAAAAAGTGTTTAATTAATTGATTTTAAATTGTAGCATTTAGTAAATTACATTGGATAAATTGCGACGATTGAACTATTAGGACTCATAGCAAATTTTTTACAAGCTGCAAAATGAAAAATCATAATTTGAATTGTAAAAATACTAAAGAGTGCTTTCAAATAATCAAAGAGTGTAGCATTTGACGTAAACCCTAATAAAACGTGGTTTCTGAATAAATAAGTACTTTACGCGCTTTTAAATAAGCACATAATACATGCCTTTTATTTTCGTCGAATTTGAGCATGTGATCGTTATATCATATATGAACACAGGGGTGCAATCGGATTAGCAGCAGCATTATTGTTATGGCCAACGATTTCTGGGCAGCAGCACCACAACAACAACATGTATGAAAATCTCAGCAGCGCAAGTGGTTGCCCTACAGCCAAAACTGGTGTTCTTGGCGGAGGAGCTTTTTTATCTCTCAATTCGTCCCTACTGTGGTTGGTTTGCCTCATGCTGGCTAGCAATGCAAGATACGACTTTTTGGAAGATTTGAGCGGAGAATCTAAAGCTAAGGAAGCTACCACTTCTGGGTATAATGCAGTGCTTGAAAAAGGACTGGATAACATTTTTGACGGCGTGGAGTAACATACATGTAGCGTACTTGCGTATATAGTACATACGTACCTTCGAGAGAGTGATTTCAAGAACTTTTCTGCATATTGAAAACGTTTCCAGACGGACCTTAAGTTAGTTTTAGGTTTTATGGTTGTTTTCTTTAGTAGTTAGTTTTTTTAATTTTTTCTCGAAGCTTTTTATATTTCAATATTTCTAGACTTCGTGGTTTATTCTTTATACTAAATATAGGGCAAGCTACTCCTTCTCCTTCGGTGCATGCATGAAACTCTATCACTGGAGATGATGGATATCCAAATCGGTAACAGCCAATTACACTACGTAATAAACATCTATTAGACATGTAATGAAATTTTTAAAAAAATGTGGTGAACATCTATTAGATAAGAGTCAACATGATCAAGGTTCTAAAAGACTCTAGGCGCTAGTCGGACGGTATACTGGGAGTCTAGCGCCTAGGTGGTAGGCAGAGCCTAATACTGAGCGCCTAATACTAAGGTCTGCCTAGGTAGGAGGCAGAGCCTAAATTTATTATAATATCGTACAAAGAAGTAGCTGCTTATTCTTAAAAAATACATAATTACATTAGAATACATAATTTGCAAAATAGAATAACTTATAGATTATAAAGTATTAGAACAAGGTGAAAACATGGGAACAAAAATCCAATGTGTGTTAATCTAAGTAGTCAACAAGTCTCTTACAATTTATAGAAAAATAAAATGCAAAATGAGAGTCACGATATAGGCAGGTATGGGTTAGTAGGGGCCGTCTATACGGTCTAGGGGTCGCCTAAGCAGGCTTTCTTAATGTTCAAATGTCTGGAAGTAACCGGAGCAATGCCCAGCCACCTAGTGCCTATGCAACGCTAGGCGGAGAGTTTTAGAATAGTGAATAGGACTATATCTTGGTAGTTGAACGTGTAGTTGTAGATTTGATCTTATTTTCTTCAGTAGCAAGTAACTGTCCATGTTGAACATGCAGTTCTCTCAAATTCAAAATGGTTAATATAAAATTCTTTTAGGAAATATAAATGGATAAATATAAACTTTCCTCTTTAATTAATTAATTAGCTTAATCAGCCTTTCTATATCTTCCTTGTTGCAGTCATACTTAGAATAGAAATGTGATTGTGTAAATCCTAGTGTATCTAAGGATATCTTGGAATATTCTCTTTAGTAGAGATTATCCTATTAGAGTTGTGATCCTATTAGAGTGAGGATTTAACCTATCCTACTACTATAAATAAAGGCACAATGGGGTGAAATACAGCACATCTCACAATTAAATCTCTCTCTTCTCTCTCTCTCTTGCCGCCGGCCTCCCCCTCTCCATTCCTTTAAAATAGTTTAGTCAATTAGGCTTACAACATATTATCAACACACTCTTGTCAAAAGCTAAGGAACTGAAGGATTGTAGGACGAGGTTTTCTTCTACAAAATGCAAAGGCTTTAATTTTTTTTTTTTGCCAATTAGGTACGCTTAAAATAAAGTAAGATATTTGAAACGTCCACGAAGCATGAAAACACTCCCCATGATGCATGAAGCCCTTATATTTATATTTTCCTTCCGATATACATATATACATATATATATATATATATATATATATATATATATATATATATGTTTCATGCATTACGCAATTATTATTTTGCTATGTGGAATTTGTGAGTCAAAGCATATAAATAAATTATAAGCAATTTAGGGTTTTTCAAGCCCTAGTGATGTCGAAAAAAAAGATCGGGAAATATGTGACATGGCTGCGGCTCGCCGCCGCTGGCACCATCGCCAACCACTGTAGCTGGCCTGCAGCCCAGCCGTATGGAGCACGCTATTAGAACGACGTCGTTGTGACATCTGGACTATGGCAGCAGCCTTTTGGGCTTTGCTGCGCATACACAAACACCAGGCTTCGACTTGATAAGGGTTGGTTACCATGGGCTTGCAGCCCTTCCAAGCCCAAAACAAACAACTTTTCAGTTTTTGGGCTTTTGGGCTTTGTCCTAAGTCCTTGGCCCAAACCTGCAGCAAGCCTGTATCGCTTACTGGGCTTTGCCCAAGTCTAGGCCCACTTGCCTGTACCAGGCTTGACTTGCCCCAACCCAAAAACCAAGGAGCCAGCCTTGGCTAAGCCTTCCCCACACCAACTCGCAAGCCAGCTTTACCCCGTGCCTTGTTTTTTGCCTAAACCAACAGCTTTTGCTGCTAGGCTCACCTAGACCACACGGCCTAAAGGCATGTAGCCCTCCCACGGCCCAATGACTGCAGCAATGCTGCAGAGCCTATCCCCACATCGCAGCCAGCCCACTTTTGCCTAAGCCGCGTTATTTTTTTGACCCAATGCCAATTTTTGGCATCCCTGCATTATAAATCATGCCCAAATATATTTTTTTTGGGTACTTTGGTTTACGCTAATTAATTCTAATTTAATTATCACTTGGTTTATCGCCAACCGAAGCTAATATGACATGTCTGTCATTATTTTACTTCCACAATTAACCATGTTTGGTTCTGATTTATTGAATTAATTAAAAGTGACCAGCAGTCCATTAATCTGATAATTAATCCAAAATTATTGACCTGATGATCACTTTTGGACATTAACAGTTCAATAATTTATTTTTATATTTTGAACCGTTGACATCCTTTCCTTGTCCTGAAGCTCTCACACTTGAGTTCCCGAAACACTTCAATCAACATATTGCATTTTGTGTTCTTGCAGGAACTTCTCATTTATGAACTAATCGTTCATAAAAGTAAATTGAACCTGTAGTTTCATATTTAATGCCTTTGAATCCCAAAGTTTTCATTCAAAACTTACCACATGAAACATGTAGCTTTCATGCTTAAATTAAACCAATACATGTCTATAGAACCCTAATGTTCTACGATGTATGTTTATGGCTTTCCATATGACTAACCACATTTTTGTACCATCTGTTTTAGGGACATGTTAAACTTGAACAAGCTTGATTTCATCGCTCTGGAGGTATCTGGAAGAAACTACCTGAAGTGGGTTCAAGACGTGAAGCTCCATCTTACTGCAAAGGGTATTAGAGCCACCATTGAGGAACCTATCGATGATGAACTAGTCATTGAAGTTGAGAAAACTACTGCAATGATCTTCATTCGAAGACACATCCATGATGCACTGTAGATCGAGTACCTCACTGAGGAGGATCCACGCACCATCTGGCTTGCTATGGCCGATCGTTTCAATCACCAAAAAGACATTTACTTGCCTGAAGCAAAACACGACTGGCAGCATTTACGCTTCCAAGACTTTAAGTCCATGAATGAATACAATTATGAAGTTTGTAGAATCCGATCATTGCTTAAGTTCTGTAAAGTGGACTTAACAAATGAGGATTTCCTACAGAATACCTATTCAACCTTCAATGCCATCAATATTGTCCTACAACAACAATATAGGGCACAAAAGTTCACCAAATTTTCAAATTTAATCTCTGTTTTACTTCTCATTGAAAAGCAGAACCAGCTTTTGATGAAGAATCATTAAGCTCGACCTATTGGCTTGAACGCTTTGCCTGAAGCGCATGCGACTAATTATAGCAGCCACAAATAATGAAAAAAATCGTCATGGCCGTACTAATGGGCAGCAAGCCCACCCACGGGTCCAAGGTCCACAGAGCCAAGGTCCACCCAAGGGAGGAAATTTGACCCATAAGTGCCAAACCCTTGCCCTGAAGGCCTCAAACTTCAAGAACAAGGGAAAAACTATCATTCAATTAGCTTCCACTAACCTGGACATGTGCTACCACTGTGGATCAAATGATCATTGATCACGCGTATGCCAAGCTACCCCTGAGGCCATTGCCAAGTATCATTCCTGTCGTGAGTCTAACTTTGCACAAGTGGAACATCCCGAAGATGCTACTACATCCATAGAGCTGTTAGATTTTTAGTAGGCATCTGCTCCTATGGAAGAATAAAGTTTTATTTTTCTAGACATGTTTTAGGGTGTTTTTACCCCTAGTAGCCGAATCCACTAGGAGTGGCCGAACCCTTCCCTTCCCCCCTCTATTTTTTTAGGTTTATGGTTTAGTTTTTGGACAATTTTTCTAAGTCTTAAGAATAATTTGTTTAGTTTTTGGTTTGTTTTGATTATGGATAATTATTTTATGGATATTATTTCTCGATTGATTAATTAAATGAATGAAATTATATTTATGCACGTGACCAACTTAATTAATTTATTCATATGTAAGCCTAGTGGAGAAGTTAGTTGTCTGGTTGATAGTGCTACCACATACACTATATTGCATGAGGGACACTATTTTACTAACTTCATACCTAAAAATGCACCTCTGACAACCTTCTCATGCCCATCCAACCTGATAGAAGGCTATGGAAAGGCCTATATAATGTTGTCCAATGGTAGTGTTTTAACCATTAAGATGCCCCCTATTTTCCACGTTCCAGAAGAATGTTGCTGAGCTTTAAAGATATTCGAGATAATCAATATCATGTTGAAACCACTGAAGATAATGGTTCTGAATTTCTTTATATCACTTCTTACAAGTATGGCCAGAAACATATTCTTGAGAAGCTGGAACGTCTACCAATTGGGTTTTACATAACAACCATTCGTGGCAAAGAATCCCACCATATGGTCGGCCCTGTGCCTGGGTTCTAGAACACTTTACTGCTTTGACATGATCGTATGGGACATCCCGAATGTGACATGATGTGCCGTATCCTCAAATCATCACATGAGCATCATTTACCTCCATACGTTGGATTCCCTCCTTGCAAAGCTTGTTCTTTGGGGAAGTTGAATGCTTAACCCTCAATTACAAAAATTATTCATAGCCATCTTAAGTTTCTTTAGAGGATTCAAGGGGATATTTGTGGACCTATCCAACCAACATGCGGACCATTTAGACACTTTATGGTGTTGGTTGATGCATCGACACATTGGTCACATGTCTGTTTATTGTCTACATGCAACATTGCATTTACAAAACTCCTAGCATAAATTATTAAGCTTAGGGCTCACCACCCAGATTATCCGATTAAGTCGATTCGATTGGATAATACTGGAAAGTTTACGTCACAAACTTTTGACAATTATTGCATGTTTGTTGGGATTGATGTTGAACATTATGTACCCCATGTTTAAACCCAAAACGGCCTGGCAAAAGCTTTCATAAAGCCCATTCAATTGATAACTCAGATTTTGGTTATTCGAACCAAATTGCCGGTATTTGCCTGGGGCTATGCAATAATGCACGCAGCCATGTTGGTCTGCCTGAGGCCCACCATTACCCAACCTCATTAACCATTACAATTGGTTACTAGAAACGAGCCAGACGTCTCGCATTTACGTGTGTTTGGGTGCGCAGTTTATGTGCCAATAACATCGCCACTACCTACCAAAATGGGTCCTTAAAGAAGAATGGGAATCTATATCGGTTATCATTCGCCATCAGTTATTCGCTACTTAGAACCCTTGACAGGAGATCTCTTTACTGCACGTTTGCGGTTTGTCACTTCGATAAGATAGTCTTCTCGTCGTTAGGGGGAGAT